GTTCATTTTAAATGTCTTATATATACCTGTTTACACATATGCAATAGTTGGTTCTTTTTCCCTTTCTCTCTTCCCTTCTTTCTTCCTATTTTTAGACAGGGTTTCACTCTGTAGTTCAGACTAGTCTTGAACTCACTGTGGAACCTAGGCTGTTCTCAAACTCATGGCAGTCCTCCTGCCTCAGCCTCCTGAGTAGTAGGATTACAGGCCTGGACCACCATGCCCAGCAAGAATAATTATTTAAATAGGCTCATATGTGTGTTTTTATCATAAGACACTTGCTTTCACATTGAATATGGCCATTCCCCATCCTTTCTATAACCCACTCTAACCAGCAGCTTAGTGGGTCCTTCTGTATTTTTCTCCATACCCGTATGGTCTAACAGAGATTTCTGCATACATGAATACATACCATAGGCATGTGTGGAGTGGTTTGTCATTATTTTACAAGTTTATGCTGAGGGTGTGCTGCATATTCAGCCAGGCTCCTACAAACTGCCATTCACTGTGTTTTCAGTTATTGACTACTCCAGGTGGTGCTAAAATAGTGTATGTATCCAATTGGATTAGGACCTTTATTTCTTTGGATTGGTTCCCAAAAGAGGAGGTACAAATTTGAAGAGTATGTATGTTTATAGTTTTGACAGAGGTCTATATGGCCTTTCAAGGATGTTTTAATTCATTTAACACTGCATTGTCAACCACCAGAAAAAATTAAGATTGTCCTTTTTGTCATATATCTCTAATACAGTCTGCATGAGATATCATTTCACATATTAATTAGTAAATTTGAGTCTATGGTCATGCTCAGCCAGTTGAATGTAAATTACCTACATTCATTTTTCCCTCGTGTTTTCAGATAGAAGACATAAATTCTTGATTTTCCTCACAATACTTGAGATTTTGCATGTAAGCTTTTTGGTTTTAAGGGAGTGCTGCATCCTAGTCCCTTTAGTCTTTGAGCCAGAATCTTGTTTAGCTGTCTGGGTGGGACTCAAACTTGTGATCCTCTTGACTTATCCCTCAGTGCTGGGATTATAGTGCACCTGGTTTACATGTAAAGTTTTGAATTTTTGCTTTCATTTTTGTATATGAGCCACTATTTTCTAAGAGATAATCAGTTGTGCTAGCAGCATCATTAAAAATCTATTGTAAAAAGCTACAACTCTTGTTGCACAGGTCCTGCTTTACCTTGGTCTTAACCATCCAGTAGAAAAGTATGAAGACGAAATATAGGAAGTAAAGCCATGTTATTATGTTGAGCTGTGGGGGACTCAGGTCAATAATTTCTGACATTGCCAGTTAAACAGAAGACCCATTGCTATTATGGGCTACTGGACTCTTTTAGAATATTTTGCTGAGTTTACACACCTATAATATTCAATAACGGAACTTAAAAAATGGGATATAACTATGAATGTCCATTTTGTATTTGTGTATTCAAAGTGGTTGGGATAGATATATAGTTGCATTCTCTTAATGAATAGAATGATTTTTTTCTAATGGTGTTTGTAAGTAGGATCACAAGTCTGCATCTTGTACAGCAATTAACCACTAAGAAGAATATATGCAGTATATTATTTGTTGAAACTGTACTCTCGATTTGATTTGAAACTGTCTCATTGCTATATGTTTATCAATAAAACTTTGAAAAGAAAAAAAAAAATCTATTGTAGGGGCCAGGGAGATAGCTCAGTGGAACAAGTGCTTCCCTGGCAAGCGCAAGGGCCTGAGTTCAATCCCCGGTTCTGAAAAAAAAAAAAAAAAATCTATTGTGGATGGGCCAGTGAGATAGCTCAGCAGACTAAGTGTCTGCTGAGGCAAGTGCAGGGACTGAGGTTCGAACCTGGTACCACATGCCACACCAGCCCCACCCCTGGGCACACTGAGCCAGCCACTGACACCAGGCATGGTGACACATACCTAGAATGCCAGCACTGGGGAGGCTGAAAACAGGAGGATCACTATGAGTCTGACCTGCATAGTGAGACCCTGTACCAAATACATTAAAAAAAAAAAAAGCTGTCTTGGCCAGGCATGTTGGAGACTTTTTTTTGTTTGTTTTTTGGCAGTGCCAGGGATCTAAGTCAGGGACTTGTTCTTGCCAGACAAGCACTTATTCCACTGAACCATCTCCTCAGCCCAGCCAGGCATGTTGGGATAGGCCTGTAGACCCAGCATTGGGGAAGCTGAAGCAGGATTGCTAGGAATTCAAAGTCAGCCTGGGCTACATGGAGAGAACCTGTCTTTAAAAAAAACAAAACAAAACAAAACACAAAAACCACCTTTATCCCATTAAATATATTTTACCATATTTGTCATCTCTAAACATGCATGCTGGAATGTAATTCTAGATTCCTGATACTGTAACTACTGTCAAGCTAATCTCTAAAATGTTATCGCTATCATATTGAGTTGATTATCATGGATTTATATATCTGATTTTAAAGATGTTTATAGCTGGGTGTAGTGGCACATGCAGCACTTGGGAGGCTGAAGCAGGAGGATTGTCACAAGTCTGAAACCAGCCTGGCCTACAAAGTGAGTTCAAGGTCAGCCTAATCTACAAAGTGAGACCCTGTCTAAAAAGAAAACAAGTTACCTGGTAAATGATATGAACATAAGGGGGATCCTTAGAGAGTGGGTACACTGGAGATGATTTCTTCTTACTGTATAGAAAATCCCTAAGTTCAGAAAGACATTGCTGCATCTCAGTCACGCTCCTAGACAAAACTTCCAGGCCCTTAGTTAGCTGGACAGTTTCCAAGTCCTCTCTTCGAGGAACATTTGGAGGTTCAGGCATGCTGGTGAGTCCGGGCAATGCTCCCTGGGCCCAGGAGGGCCGGGGCGGTGTTTCCAGGGAAATGGAACCATCTAGGATACTGGAAGGGGGACTTTCAACTTCTTCAATAAGAGTTTTTCCAGGCTTTGCACCCTGACTATTGGTGTTTGCCGTTATCAGGAGTTCTCTGTTTTGATGACAAAAACCTGGGGAAAGACTTTCAATCAACTTTTTTCTGTTTGCTTTGTTTAATAAACCATTGCAAGTAGCATCTGCATTCTGGGTTTCATTAGATGTTGGTGAAGATTCTTCTTCCAACATGACTTCTCTAACAACCAAGTGAATTACATACTGATCAGACTCTGATGAAGGAAGAAATGCTGAATTAGTGGACTTCTGTTTTCCTACCAAAATTAGTAACAGTTTGTCTGTCACGAAACTTATGCCTTTTGGTCTTTCATCATTCTCTAACTGAATGTGCTGGATATTTGGCATTGAAGATGGAGTGACAGAATAGATCAAAATTATATTACAAGTATTAGAAGCGACTGCCACTACCTGTGTTTTGACATTAAATGCTATCAGATCGGGAACCAGAATGCCTGGAATAGTAACTTTTCTGGTCATGGTAACCTCTTTCCCAAAGGTCACAAGGACCAAATGAGAAGAATCTTGGCCAGTTCCTGTCAAGTAGTCCTTTTTTCTTAGACAAATAAGAGCACTTCCCTCAGACTGAGGAGGGTTGAAACGTAAATGAGTCAGATCCAGGAGATGTGAAATGGAAGGAGAAACTGGTATTTCACAATCTGTTTCAGAAGCAGCGACCTCCTCATCCGCAGATGACATCTCACTAGCACCTGGAGAACTATGCAAGCCAACATATTTGCCATTAGTTGGGACATCAATGAGTTCAGCTGCCTTTAAGCTACAAATCTTATCTAGTGGAAGCTCAGTGGTGACAGCAACTTCCAAGTCCGTGGTGGCCCTGATGGAGCAGACACGGCTGTCCACATTGAGCAGTGGGCAGAAGGAGCACCTGTGAAGAGTCTTCTGAGCACTGTCCCAGGTGTAGGAATGAAGGCAGCTGCCTACAGCTACCACCAGCCTCTGGCCGTCCCGGGTCCAACATGCACAATGAATGCGGCCTTGGGCACCGACGTCCACTTTCACACGGGAGTTGTCACAGCGAACACGGGGAAAAACGGAGGCATCATGTGCAGTCAACACAGTTAGGACAGAGTTTTTTGGGTGCCACACACAGCCCTGGGGAAGGACATCGAGAGACTCTCTGATCTCAGCAGTCTGAGACATCAGCCATTTGCTTGACCTTGTAGTGGTGGGACACAGCTGCCACACAGTTACATGCTTCTTATGCTGAACAGCAAGCAGAGCGGGCACACCAGCTGTGTCAGGAGGGGCCCAGGAGACCCCCCAGACATGTTCAAACTGACCAAGGATTCTTGAGTCCCCAAACTTGACCACTCCACTGTGAAGCTGTAACTCGGTCACGACTACCTGATTTCCATCAGTCCAGGCAAGCCCATGGGTGGGGTGTAAGGCTTCACACAATACATTCAGTCTGGTCCTGAGCAATCTTCCTTCTCCCAACTTCATCCTTTCCATCACAGTGATCTGAAATGATTAAGAAAAAAGCTGCACCATGAAAAAAAAAAAAAATCATCGGACTAATCTAGAATACTGGCCATAATAACAGTTAAACCCTTCACAGGTCAATACTGTGGGGGGATAATCGGACAGGAGGAATGTTACACATTAAGAGGCATCTACCGGGGCTGGGGAGATGGCTCAGTAGGATAAGCGCTTGACAGGCAAACGCAAGGATCTGAGTTCAATCCCCGGTTCCGCAAAAAAAAGGCATCTACCAAGGGCTGGGCATGAGGGTGCATGCCTGTAATCCAGCTATGTGGGAGGCTCAGACAGGAATATCAGAGCTTTAAGTCCAACCTGGGCAATTTAGCAAGACCCCATCTCAAAAGAAATAAAAAGGGCTGGGATACAACTTCGGTAGTAGAACACCTGCCTAGCATACACAAGGACCTGGATTAAAGCCCCAGCACTAAAAACAGAGAGAGACAGAGATTGGGGCGGGGGGGGGGGGAAGAGAAAGAGAGAGAGACAGGGCAGACAGACTGACTACTGAACCATAATAATATTGGCTGGACACTGATGGAGGAAATAAAATTTTCTCCCATGAAGTATATATTTAGAATTGATGAAATTTAATATGGATGGCCAGAAGATATTGTGGGCTGGGGATGTAGCTCAGTGGTAGAGACTGTTTAGCACACATAAGGCTCAGAGCCCAACTCCCAGCAACACACATATTCACACACAGATACTGATGCGTTACAAATTTCCTTCAGTGTACTGTGATTTTTTTGTTTTTGCAATGCTAGAAGTTAATATTCCCAGGCTCGCACACTCCTTTTTGAGACAGGGTCTCACTGAGTCACTAAATTGCCCAGGCTGGGCTCCAATTTACAATTATCCTTCCTCACATTCCCAGAGTATGGATAAAATAGGTGTATACCACTTTGCCTGCCATTGTGTTTATATGTAGCAGGAGACTGTCCTATTAAGACACACATAGACATACTTGAGATCATTTCATGATCACGGCAACTTACCTCTCCCTCTCCCTCCCACTCCCCCTCCCCCTCCCTCTTCCCCTCCCTCTCTGTGTGTGTGTGTTCTCTTCTCTTTTTGAGACGGGGTCTCACTATGCAGTTCAAGCTGGCCTTGAGCTTACTTTGCAGCCCAAGCTGGTCTCAAATTCCCAATGATCCTCTGCCTCAGTCTCCCAAGTGCTCAGATTATAGACGTGCACCACCATGCCCGACAACCTGCTTTCCAATGGTTCAGCAACAACAAAATTTATACAGGGAATAGAGAGAAAGTAAATGCACCAAAATGTTAAGAATGACTGAATTCAGACTTAGGCTAATATTGTCATTTTTGATACTTTCAAATTTGAAAAAATTTAAATTAAAAAGTTAAGAAAATTCATACCATTATTTAATTTCTACTCATCCTTTTACCGTCAAATCAATGAATAACTGATATTCACACCTCTGGCTTTATTAACACTTATTTTCATATCTTATTCCAAAATGCTTTTTACCTCTTTACTAAAAAGACACTTTAAAAAGTCATTATTGGGGCTGGTGAGATGGCTCAGTGGTCTAAAGCACCTACTTAGAACAAGCTTAGCAAAGCACAGGGACCTTGGTTCAATCCCCCAGCAGCACATGCCAGCCCGCCCCGCCCCCTGGTGGGCTGAGCTGGCCCCCTCCCAATAAATAAAATTAAAAAAAAAAAAAGTCATTATTTTCATTTGTACTTCATCATATTCTTAATAATTTTAAGAATATTTTTGCATTTCCTATTGTGTTTGATCTAACAATCCTTCACTACAATGTAAAGTAGGTTAGAGAATGTTACCTACAACTCTTCCATTCTGAAAATGTTCTCGGCTCTGCAAGCATCTAAATTACTAAATCCATGTTCATTTCAATGAAACTCAAACTAAAGGTATCCAAAACAAAGCAAACTTTTCTTGCATCCCATGCCAACAACTGCATACTCACTTCTGAAAATCTCAAGGCCTTGATAAAGGCATGGTTCACCATTGGGCATGTAGCCCTTGAAACTGTTACAGAAATCTACAAAACACATTTATTTAGTGATATTGGGGGTCAAACTCATTGACATCCCATGCTTCCCCCCCCCCCCTTTTTTTTTGAGACAGGATTTTGCTTTATAGTACAGCCTGGGCTCAAACTCAGAGTGATTTTTCCTGCCACAGCCTCCTGCCTGTGCCATCATGCCTAGCTCTAAGCCCTCTTTTCAATATTTATTTTGAGGGCCAGCCAAATAGCTCAGTGGATTAAAGTGGCTGCAAGCAGGCTTGGGGCTGAGGGTTCTATCCACGGGCCTGCTGGGGGTTCTATCCACAGGCCTGCCACACCAGCCCCACCCCTGGGGCTCCCTGAGACAGCAATTGAGGCTGGGTGTGGTGGTGCATGCCTGTAATCCCAGCTCTTGGGAGGCTGTAAACAGGCAGATCACTACGAGTCTGATCTAGATTGTCCAGGTAGGCTCAACTGTCCACCTCAGCCTCTCAGAATGCTAACATTACAGGGATGCACAACCCACCAAGCTTCATGTTTTTTAAATTAGTACAGGCTTATAGCACACAATGTTTTCATTCCTTGAGTGGCGTTGGTACAAGTACATATACATTTCAACTCCTTTTTATATCCCTCTTCCCTCCCTGCCCTCCATCTTTTGATCCCTTTCCCCTTTTAGAAAGACCTATCTCCTTATTTCCTATCCACTTTTATTTTGCTTTTTATTTACATATAGTTCAGGCTGGCCTGAACTCACTAAGTGGGTTCATGACAATTCTCCTCCCTCCCCTTCCCGAGGGCTGGGATTATAGGCATGCACCACCATGCCTGGCTATATTTTGGGTTCCTTATATAATGGAAACCATGCAATATTTAAACTTGTGTCTGATTTATTGAAAATATGAACTGCTTCATGAATTTGCATGTCATCCTTGAGCAAGGCCCATGCTAATCTATCATTTCAATTTTAGTATAAGTGCTGCCAAAGTGAGCACCATGTCCTTATTTTATACAAAGAAATGAGGTTTAAGTTAGAGGTTTTGGGTAGTTACAGAAACCATAGGTTAACCTGAAGAAAAAGAAGGCAGTAGATTAAGAACCAGGTTCAAGGCAGGCATTGTCATAGGGGATCAGGAAGCAGCAAAACTGGCTAGGGAAGTAGGGCTGACCCATTAATTATAAGATTCCATACATATGCAGAACACCTCCCAAAGCCCTGCTAGTGGAATTCTAGCCAAAATGGAGCAGGTTTTCAATAGGAGCTCTGGACCTGACATCAGCCTGAGATGTAGGATACCAGCACCACTCTCAGGACCCGGATATAGAAGTTCGCACAGCTTGAGATTCGGACAGTATAAAGACAGATCCCAGACGAGCTTGCTATGCTGGCTTTCCTTACCATAGCCTGCCCTGTATCCTCCAGGGTGTACTTTCATCTTGCTCTCTTCTCTTTTACTGGGCCGGAGTTCACTCTGCAGAGCCAGTTTCTTGCTCACTCATCAACTTTGTCTTTTTCAAAAAAACTTTGCTGTTTTTTATTTGTTTCATTCAATTCTTTAAGAGGAGAAAAATCTAGAATCCACCTCCAGAAGGAGAGGTGAGCAACCCAAAACCTGGTGATATTTAATTGCTGAGCCGCTTTTAGAAGGAACCTCATGAGAACAGCATGGTGGCGCCTGCCTACAGTCTCACACAGGGAGCCTGAGGCCAGCCTGGGATACACAAGCAGACCAAAACCAAAACAAGCCAACCTAAGCTCAGGGACATAAAGTAGTAGAAGGTGGTTGCCAGGGCAGAGACTGGGCTGGAGACAGAGGGACTGGGCACTACTGTTTCATCAAGTACAGAATTCCCATCTTTTCCTCTCCCCCTAGTAATAGGAATGGAGGCCATAAAGTGCTGAGCTACATTCCTAGTCCTTATGTATTTTAAAACAGTCTCAATCTATTCCCTCAGGCTGCCTTCACATTTGCCACCCTTCTGCCTCAGCCTCCTCAGCAGCTGGTACCATGAGTGTGTACACCACACCAAAGAGTTTCAGTTTTATATGACGAATAAAATTATGGACATAGATGGCAGTGATGCCTGCACATCATGAATGCATCTTTTTTCTTTATTGTGACTATACTTAATAGCACTGAACTATACATTTGAAAATGGTTGAACTGGTCCTGGGCACAGCTGCACACGCCTGTAATCCGAGTTACTTGGCAGGGTCAGGCAGGAGGATTGCAGGGATATAGCTAAGCAGTGGACCACCCCTGGGTTTGAACCCTAGCATAAGGTGTGAGAACCAACTGAGACTGGGTAAACTGCTGAGGATCTAGCTCGACTGCCCCTTCACTTGATGGCACAGGCTGAGTGAGGATGCAGGCTCTGGGAAAGTCTCTCACTGGCTGAGCCTCGCCATGCCCTGCTGGCAGAGGAGGGGAGAGAGGACTTCCCCACCAAGACAGCTATGACTAGGAACCAGATACTGCCTCTCACACACAGTGATTTTTCCCAAAGGAAGGGGTTTTCAAATCATGACTGATCACCGCAGGGATCACAGTATGTATTTTTCATTTATGGATTTATTATTATTATTATTTAATTTTTTTTTTTCTTTCTGGCAGAACCAGGGATTGAACTCAGGCTCTTGTGCTTGCCAGGCAAGTGCTTATTCTACTGAGCCATCTCCCCAGCCCCTCATTCATGGTTTTAAATCATGGTTTCTTTTCCAAGTTAGTAATACTGATCTTTCTTAAACTTTTAATTTCATGGACCATAATGGATCTTTAACTTCCCCCCCAGGCACAAATTCAGCTTTCAATTATGATTTAGATGAGCACAGAACCAAAAGTTTGATGCCCATTTCTCATCCATTTTCTTTTCATTTTCCTTCCTTCCTCCTTTCCTTCCTTGCAGTATTACCAACTTCCACGGTTGAAATTACCATCTGGTAGGTGTCCACTCTTAGGTCTATACCTCTCTACCTAGCTT